GATGGCCTTGTCTCAAATTTAGTATTAATAATAAGTATCATTTTACAGCTGTATTGTCTTTATAAACTGAGATTTGGAAACCCTTCAAACCTGGCACAAACTGAGAAATGTGAAGTCTTTTATTCATATTGTTTTAAAGAAGTCTCCACAAACAGATTGCAGGAATGAAGCTGTTAGAAAAAAAAACTAAACAAAACTAAATCAGCTGATACACAAACTAAGCCACTTTTCTGAAATGCACAAAAGCTGTCCCAAGGTTTTTTTTTTTTTAAGTGTAATTTACGTTGGTAATATATGTGTGCTCTTTTTTGCTGGTGAAATTAGCTGGCAACTCTGATCTTCAAACAGATCTTTTGCCCATCCTTGATTTGGAACCATTTTCATACATGTATGTCTTGTTTCATGTGCAACATCTCATATTGAACTCACAAAAAGTTGACAGACACAGGGTGGCGAAATAATAATGTAACTGGACACATGTAAATCATAAACTGACCTGTGAAGGACAAACCACGACTCCTTTGAAGAGCAGCCGTTCTGATTCAGGTCTAAAGGCTCCACATCTGTTTAAAGTTAAGTGATGAGGTGCTCTTTGATCCAGATCACAAGATCTGCAGTATGTTCACTTCACGTGCAATTTTTCAGCTACAGCAGTTTGTTAGCATATACTTGCTTCATTTAAACTTTCCTTATGTCAAATGCATTTGCTATAAATCTTAGCGCTGGACAATAGTAAGCGTCATTATTACGACAAGATAGTCTTAGGCATATCTGAGTATTCTGATTGGCTCTTTCTTGGTAAGAATTTTGCCCTATGGACTGTTTCCATAGAAACAGTTATAAGTCGGGTATCTTTTCGCCATACAATAAGTTACCTAGTACACGTACTTAACCTCATTACAACTACTTACTAACCTAGCTTGCCCCAGTCGTACTGAAGACTATTGGCCATCAAACGTTTTTGTGTTCTGTAGTGCCACAACCTTGGGCCAATATTCCCCAGTATGGCCCTTGTGCTTGGATAGTAAGAGGCTATAGACTATATTCAACCTCGTTTCTGACTTGATAATTCAAAAGAATTTTTATTCTCAAATGAGGTTAGTCGGGCTAATTTAAATGCATACAAAAGAATTTTAAATCAGCAGCCATTTGCAGTATGAATAGGGTCTATTATACAAGGGATTTGGAGGATTTTTTTGCAATTGGGCACTTGACTGAAAATTAACTGACTGAATATTGATTAAAAGAGAGAGTATTTTGTCGTCAAATCAAAAATTTACTATTTTTTTTTTGTCAAATAGAATGTATGTGTTAGATTGAACTAAACTCCAGCTATATAACAAATTATTGAATTTACTTTTCCCTTGTTTCAAATCATGCTAGAACTGTTCCAAATGTCGTGCTACTGCAGTGCCGAACTCAAACGAATTTGGCCCAGCAATGGCATGACAAAAGAATGGCAGTGGTTTCAAATGTCAAATTTAATTCAGTCACGCCAAGGATCAGAAGAAATTTGCTTTGCTGAAGACTATTTTAAATACTAGAGAGCAATGGCAGCTGATGCAGAAGGCTATGAACTCAGTTTGAAACAGCATGAGTATGCCGTTTGAAGCCAAGTTGTTCTACTGCCGTATGGCACAGCAAGGCCTGCTGTGCTAACTAGTCGTGCCAAACTTAATTCAGCCTGCTGAACTGAGTGGTTTCAAATGTTGTGTTACTGCCATGCTTAAGTCAAATTTAATTCTTGAATTTAGTTCATCACAGCAGTAGCACGACATTTGGAATAGGCCTAAGAATGCAAAATGTTGAGCCAAAAAGAAAGAAAAAAAGTTGTGTGCCTCCTAGCCTTAATAAGGGCAAGTAAAGCTCCTCAGATGTTTTAAAAACCAACAAACAGAAAAAGAGTACCTGCACAATTGTCAAGTTACATTCCTTGGCTTCACCAAACTGAGGGAAACTGGTATCTGTGGCAATGACGTGAGTCACAAGGTCACTGATGTAAAACTCACGTGCCGCACCGCCAGATTTCAAGACTTGCTTCACCTAATTTTTCAGATTACACAAGATAGAGAATGAGTGATAATCAACCCATCTTATTACTGTGATTTGAGTAGAGCATATGCATATGTATGTACACTGTACCAAAACAGGGGAAGAGCTGAGCTGAAAATTATTTACAGTATATACTTGGTTAATCTGTAACATATGAATGTTAGAAATACATTCCTCCAGGAGTTGAAAATTATTTCTTAGACAGCAGTGTCATGCTAGCACTGAGACCAAATTCTTTTATGATCAAATCAAATCCTGTTTTCTTTCAGCCACAGACTACACTGTAAAAAATGGCTTTCCAAAACGAAAGACCCCCACCCTTACTGGAGGGTTTTCTTTTTTCTTTCTCGTAGGTTTACTTGCAAACATTGCTCAGCAGAATCTGCTAGATGTCAATTAATGACTTTGATGATTGTACTAGGATGAATTCCATCCCTTACCCTGCGAAAGAAACAGAATACAACTACCCATGTGAATACGATCGTGAAAGATTACCGTTGACACTATGAATTATACTCTGTATGATCCTCTGTTTTCCAGAAAATGTCAAGCGAATCTTAAGATCATAACAAACATAACAAATAGAGTCTGTTTACACAAACCTTGCATCATCCGAAATGGACACAAATCTGAATTTTTGGGAGGTACCTTTATCTGCGATTGCACATTTTACAATTGAAATCATACCTCTTCATTGTTTTCTTCAGCTAGGAAGAATCTGACGTCCTTAAAAATGTCTTTTTTCTCCTGGTTTGAGGTCGATTCGAGAGCCATGTTCAAATTTCTCGTTTCGCCGCCATCTTGAAAACTGATTTGGCATCTGGCACAAACTACTGGACTCGACTGGCGGGAAAGAAACTTCTTACCAGTCACCCCCTCGGTTTGAGACAGAAAATTCCTGGGGCGACGCATTACCCTGGAGGAATAGAGAGTTTAAGGTGGCCGAACACAGTTTTCGCGTGCGCTTTTGCTGATACAATTCAGCGCGCGCGCAAGTATTGCAAAGAAACAAACATGCCGTCAATAGAGCGATCATTTAATTTTCTCCATACTCGCCTTATTTGTGCTATTTTTCTCTATAATTGAACGCAGTGTATTGATGGCTTTAGTCTTTTATTACAAAGATATGTTAGAAAAGGTAGCGATGCAAAGAACC